ATTAAACCAACTGTTACTTTAGTTATATAATGTTGAAGTAGTGGAAAATTCTAATGTGTTTTAGAAAATATGCGTTGAAAAGAGTAATTCAGTTTTGGTAGATAAAATGTCATTACATCCATTACAAAGTATCGTTGCTAAAAAAAAAAAAAAGGCAAATCCACCAATATCCCTCAGACTCATTTTTGTGTTTATTATAAATATATCATAAAGTTAAATATGGTGAAAGTGAAACATAAAGTCAAATATCCATGTTGACTCATGACTCATGAGTCCACTCATGGAAAAAAGGTTTGGCTTTTTTGGAGTTAAAATGGCAGAAACTTATTGGGAGTTTTATGAAGGAAAAAGTGGAGACACAACATCTAGAAAATAAAAAATAATAATAAACAAAAAAAGATTGTGACTCTATTTTGCTGTCAACAAATAAAAAGAACAAAAACAATTATTTTAGCAATTTTGACACTAAAACAATCTAATATCCAATAAAATCTTATGTATATGATAAAGTCATGTTGACCCACGAGTCCATGCATAGAATAGTAAACCGATAAGAATCTTTATCTTTTTGGTAATAAGAACAAGAATCATTTATTATTTGTCACCTTGCTTAAACTAATAAAAATCACATGCATGTATATATTAATTTTATAGGAACTTGTAATGGCGGCGCCGGACAACCCATCAAACGCCGTGGAATGGGCCATGGCGGAGATGATAAACAAACCGGAGATCCTCCACAAAGCTATGGAAGAGATCGATAGAGTCGTCGGCAAAGAAAGATTCGTCCAAGAATCCGATATCCCAAAACTTAACTACCTTAAAGCTATTATCCGAGAAGCTTTCCGTCTTCATCCCGTCGCCGCCTTCAACCTCCCACACGTGGCACTCTCCGACACGACCGTCGCAGGTTACCATATCCCTAAAGGAAGTCAAGTTTTACTTAGCCGTTACGGTCTTGGTCGTAACCCTAAGGTTTGGTCTGATCCACTTAGCTTCAAACCGGAAAGGCATCTCAATGAGTGTTCGGAAGTGACTTTGACGGAGAATGATCTCCGTTTTATCTCGTTTAGTACCGGAAAGAGAGGATGTGCTGCTCCGGCGTTAGGTACGGCGATAACCACTATGATGCTCGCCAGGCTTTTGCAAGGGTTTAAGTGGAAACTAGCCGGAAGTGAGACACGTGTCGAGCTTATGGAATCGAGTCATGATATGTTTCTTTCGAAGCCTCTGGTTATGGTCGGCGAATTGAGATTGTCGGAGGACCTTTACCCAACGGTGAAGTGAGGCGACGGTGAAGTGAGGCGACGGTGACGTACGGCGAGGAAATTTCCGTATATATTATGAATAACTCAAAAGTTTAGTGAATCATAAACCAAACTTTGTTCGGTTTTGGTCCTTTTTGGAAACACTTGACTTGTGTTTCCTCTTTGCTTTTTTCTATATATATTAATTTTGGTTTTGTTTTGATAAGAAAGGTATTCACATCGAGTATCTCTTTTCTTCCTTTATAAGAAATAAAAATTTGAGTATTTCTGTCATAAATTCAAATTCCTTTTTTTGTCATTTGGGTAGACAAAATATTACTTAATAGCCACGGCCCTATAATGCATGTTAGGATTGAAAAAGAATTAAAAAATGACAATTTTCATACCAGAGCCACTACCATGTTTTTATATTAACTTGGTTTTTGACAAAGTTAAATCCAGTTTTTGCAAGCAAACGACTGTACGGTTAGTTAGGAGATCTTTAGGTACAGTACAATCATGTTATCTACATATTCCGCGTTTTGTTGATTTCATTGATGCTACACTTAAAGAAGGAAAAATTAATAAAAGAATTAAAAATATGTTGTTATATAAGGTTTAACGGCTAAAAAGTTTAGATTTAACGGCTAAAAAGTTTAGACAACCATTACCAACTCTAATTAATGCAAATTTAATTATTATATTTTGTATTTCTGTTGTATATGTATATAAGAGTGTTTTAAAGAAAGAAACTTACAAAACAAATTCACATTAACGTAGGAGATTGTGAAGAATATTGATTTTGTTGTTTATCTCGTTTAGTACTGGAAAGAGACTAAGAGAGGATGTGCTGCTCTGGCGTTAGGTACATCGATAACCATGGAGGATGCAGAATAGTTAGTGTTTTGGCAAAAATAATCGATTCGTGAGAGTCTACGGAAAACAAGAAAATAGTCGAATATAATCTCTTTATTGATCAAAGTATCGATTGCAAAATACAAGAATCAAGGCACAATGAATAAATTTATAAATCCTAGTCGTGTTTTAGAGTTGAGTCGTGTGTCTTGCCGTTTTTCGTGGTCTCTTGTGTTTGCTCTCGATTTCGTCCCCTCTTTCGTCGAATGGGGCTCCCCTTTTATAGAGAAGTCTTGGCGATTCTAATCCTCGGGGGATCTGGATTTGAGCAACCGCCCTTCACGTGATAAAGTCGTCTCCGATATTCTCTCATTAAGATTATCTCGAATATTCTTTTCACAAGATTATCTCAAATATTCTCTTGATAAAGTCAACATCTTGACAGCATAAAGTCGTTTATAGAATCTGGTTACGGCCCGTATTGATCCGGTTTTGATGGACTACGGCCCATATTGTCATGATTCCCACCGATCGCGGCACATGTCGATCTCTCATAGAATCTTCTAGAATATTATCGATTATTTTCTCCATTTACATAAATCAACATATTTATGTTAGAATTCATGTCTTATAATTTCGATGGTTAAAATTATACCCAACAACTTGCCCCCCACTCTCTATTTTCTTAATAAGAATTTAGAGAGTAGTTTAGACAAATGATAATTATTCTCCCAAATTACCTTTAATAAGCCAACAAAATTTCAAAACTTAACCTTACCTTGGCAAAATTAAAACGTTGAACGTAGAGACAACAAATGTCTTTGGGCCCATCATGTTTTAATGCCCACGTTGATTACCTTTTTAAGCGTTGATACACTTTGCATCAATTGCTCTCCTGTCCAAATATTTTGTATTTTAACACTGGGCTTCGGCCCATTAGGACAAAATAACGAGACCATTTGAAGAGACAAAGTGGTTATCACTTTTGACTGTCTTCTTCCGTGAACCCTAGCCGTTCATAGCAGCTGACGCTCCATTTTTTTTTTTAACCACTCCACAAGTTCATCAAAAATCCCTCTTATTCTCTAGCTTCTTCGAATTTGAACTTTGTTCTTCCGAAATTTGTCAAAAATATTTCAAGATTTTTGTAGCTTTCAAAAAAGACATTGCTTTTGCTAATCCATTTTCGCTACAGCTTATTAAGCCTTTGATTTTGGTTTCTTGCAGCAGATTGTTCACCTTTGGATCGTGTCCTTTGGATTTATCATACCTTGACACGTTTTATGTCATATGACACGATTTTGCCTCGTGCCCGTGACACGTTTCATGTTATGTGGCGTGATTCTATGTCGTGACATAATCATTGTCTTGTGCACGTGAGTTGTCATATAACAATTTTTAACATGTAAAGTGGTTAAACCACGTAAAATCGTTAAACCGTGTGAAGTAGTTACACCATGTGAAGCAGCTAAACCACGTGAAGTAGTTAAATCATGTGAAGCAGTTAAACCATGTGAAGCAGCTAAATCACGTGAAGTAGTTAAACCACGTGAAGTAGTTAAACCATGTGAAGCAGCTAAACCATGTGAAGCAGCTAAATCACGTGAAGTAGTTAAACCACGTGAAATAGTTAAACCACGTGAAGTAGTTTTTTCCTCATGTCACGATATCATGATCGTGCCCCGATTTTTTTTTAAATATCGTGACGCAATTTCTTCTTCTTCTTTTTTTTTTGTTCCGAAATATCGTGACACAATTTCTCTCCGTTTTTTTTTTTGAAGATATCGTGACATCATTTACTTTATGTTTGTATCGTGAACCATGTTTCGTGACACGGTCTCACGACATGGTCACTTCATGTGACGTTAAGTCATGCTCACAACATTGTCACGTGTTTTCTGGGCTCATGTTACGAGTTCCAGCTTTTGACAAAGACGTCTCGTAACGTTCCGCCTAACTGTTTATATGGACCGTCTTGTTAACAGTTTTCTGCTACAAACGTCACAATATTTGTTAGCAAGTATGTTGCTGTCAAGTTGACATATTTGTTTTCAACAATCATGTTAACACGGAAATCATTCACGTTTTGTAGCGACGTCTCGCTAATAAGCGGTTTGTAGCGAGTGTTTCGCTGGTAAACCTTTGTATTTAAGTAGCATTTTTTGGCTTGTATTCGTGGCACGCTTCTTTGTCTCGTGACACGCTTCGTGACACAATTTTTGTCGTATACTTAGAGTACTATTTGTATCTTGTGTTCATGAAGTGATTCGTGTATCGTGACACGATTTAGGTCTCAAGGCACGATTTATGGTTTGTGCTCATGATGTTATTAATATTATATGCTCATGACATTTTCTATGCTTTATGCTTCGTGACATGATTTATCTTTCATGTCTATGAAGAGCACTTTCTAGTAGCGAGCGTCTCATTTACTGTTTTCCGTATTTGAGCACTTCACCATAATAATTTTGTTTACGAGTGTTTCGTTGTAAAGTTTCCATGTCTCGTTCATCACCCTCAGGCGGACACAAGACTTAGGAAATTTTGAAGCGACGTCTCGCTATTAGGCGGTTTTAGCGAGTGTTTCGCTTTCAAACCTTTCTATATGGCAAACAACCTTTAAGTGGCAACCATATTATTCTTCAGGTTTTTGGCAAACATCTCCCCAATAGCTTAATGACTTGGGGTCGTGCCCTCTATCTCTTATTGAGCGTGTAAGACATGTCTTGTCGATTATTTAAAGAAAGATTTTCAATTTTATTGAAAATTTTGGAAACGATGATAAAAGTCTTTAAAACCAAACGATAATGGGGTATTAAACCTTAAAAACCTGAAGTAAATGTAAAGTAGAGTTTCTTCAAATGAAGAGAGTCATTCTTGTAACTGCTACAAGTGTTGTCATTTGCCTTTTAAGGTTGTTGGATAGCACGATCGTGCATTCTCTTGATCACCGGCAATTTCTTTCACCCCATAAGGTGTAGAAAACTTGATTGTTTGGTGAAACGTTGATGGTATTGCTCCTATGTCGTGAATCCAAGGGCGTCCCACAATTGCATTATATGCAGAGGGACAATCAACTACCAAGAACTTTGTGTGCTTGTTAATTCCTTCCGCGTATACCGGTAGTGTCACCTCGCCTATGGTTTGTTTCACTTCACCGCTGAATCCAATGAGGGGCGTGGATTTTCGTGTTAATCCGGCTTCGTCCAAGCCCAATTCTTTGTAAGCTTGAATGTAGAGAATATTGGTAGAGCTTCCGTTGTCGACTAGAATTATTTTCATCAAACAGTTAGCAACCGTCAAAGATATGACTAACGCATCGTGATGCGGGATTGACATGTTGTATCCACCTGTTGGGAAGCTTATGGCGCATGTTGGTGTATCTTCTTGCATATTTGTTCCCTTGCTGTGAAGGTTCTTGACAGCTCTGGTATTCCTTTTAGCAGCAGAGTGGGTTATTCCACTCACTTCTGAACCTCCTGAAATAACATTGATGACTCGATCATGTTTCGGAGGTGAGATAGGGGCGGTTTTGGTGACCGCTTGTTGGTCGTTTTGACTATCCATTCGATTTCAAGTTCTATCAGATAAGTACTCCCTCAAGTGACCTTTTTTTAGCAGCTCGTTTACTTCCATTCTTAACATGATGCAATCTTCAGTTCTATGACCATGATCGTTATGAAATTCACACCACTTTGAGGTATCTCGTTTATCGTCAGGTGCCTTCATTTTTTGAGGCCATCTTACGGTTCCACCCATCTCTTTCAATGCACCAACCAAGTCCGTATGAGAGATTGAGAGGTTACTGATGTCGGGTCACATCGATGATACACGTTTTTCGCCGTCTTCTCTGCTCAACGGTCGATGGGTGCTTCGATTGTCATTCCTGGTGCTTTCGCTTCGAGGTTTTTGGTAAGGTTTATCTTCTCTACAAGATCTTTCATTCCTTACGACACGAGAGTCAGAACGTGGTGAGTGTCGGTAACGATAAGCTGAATCTTCCTCCCACTTTATTTGTGCCCATGCACGAGAGAGGACATCCTCCATAGTTCTACATTGATACTTTGTTAGTTCTTTGTATAAGTCGCCGTCAGGTAACAAACCCCTTTTGAATGCTGAGATAGCAGTGGACATGTTGCAGCAGGGTATTGACACCTTCTCTTTATTAAAGCGTCTCACATAGTCACGCAACGGCTCATCACGCTTCTGTCGTATCTCGTAGAGGTCATCAGCTGTCTTCTCCAGGTTTCTACTACTCACGAATTGCTCAACAAAAAGATCTGTCAATGATGCAAACGAGTCTATAGAGCCGTTTGGTAAGTTGATAAACCATTGAAGGGCAGCCCCCGTGAGACTTGAACCAAAACCCTTGCACATGGTAGCCTCTCGGCATTCTCTTTGAATAGCTGTCGTAAACATTCGTTGCTTGTACTGCGCGACGTGGTTACCCGGGTCGGATGTTCCATCATACATCTTCATAGCTGGAAATGTGAATTTCCTTGGCATCTCAATGAGTGCGATTTTGTCAGAGAATGGCGTATCAGCGAACGAATGTAGGGTACTCTTACGTATTGGTGCTGGTACCCCAGGCAGTCGTTCAATCATCGCTTCTACCTCTCCAAGGCGTTTTGAGAACAGTGCTTCAAGATAAGCAGTTTCTGCTGACCTAATGATCGGTTCGGACTCAGCTCCTACGAAGTGTGCCATGTTCCTGGCCGCCGGTAGGGTTAAATTGTCTTCTCTACCAAGATCGTCACGGGTTTCCCTCGTGTCATGATTTGTTACGTCATGCCCGTGACGAAGAGTCTGTGGTCGTCTATTCACCGTTCCTGGTGTCACGTGTTCTGACCTAGGTGTCGCGTTAAGGTCTTGCATTGGATTGACGTGCACGCCACGATACCTGGAACTAGCCTCTGTCAAAACTCTCCCCGCTGTCACCAGCGAAGCGTTCTCCTCCCTCAGCTTGTGGTTATCTGCCTCGATCTCTGCAAGCTTATGTGTTGTCTCAAGTAGTTTAGCGTTCAAAGCTTCAAGCTGAGCCGAAACGTCACGATTCGCTTCGATGTTTGTCGTATCTTCAAGTCCTATCATCTCACGTAGTTTTTACTCTTGCCCCCCTCCTTCTAACGCCAATTGTTTTGGCAAAAATAATCGATTCGTGAGAGTCTACGGAAAACAAGAAAATAGTCGAATATAATCTCTTTATTGATCAAAGTATCGATTGCAAAATACAAGAATCAAGGCACAACGAATAAATTTATAAATCCTAGTCGTGTTTTAGAGTTGAGTCGTGTGTCTTGCCGTTTTTCGTGGTCTCTTGTGTTTGCTCTCGATTTCGTCCCCTCTTTCGTCGAATGGGGCTCCCCTTTTATAGAGAAGTTTTGGCGATCCTAATCCTCGGGGGATCTGGATTTGAGCAACCGCCCTTCACGTGATAAAGTCGTCTCCGATATTCTCTCATTAAGATTATCTCGAATATTCTTTTCACAAGATTATCTCAAATATTCTCTTGATAAAGTCAACATCTTGACAGCATAAAGTCGTTTCTAGAATCTGGTTACGGCCCGTATTGATCCGGTTTTTATGGACTACGACCCATATTGTCATGATTCCCACCGATCGCGGCACATGTCGATCTCTCATAGAATCTTCTAGAATATTATCGATTATTTTCTCCATTTACATAAATCAACATATTTATGTTAGAATTCATGTCTTATAATTTCGATGGTTCAAATTATACCCAACAGTTAGTCATAGGGATAATATTTTTTCGTAAGCCAAATACAAAAAGAAGTTTGAAAATATATATATCATCATAAATGATAGTTTCAATAAAAATACCATTACAAAAAAAAGAAGACAAAATGAGAAGAAAAAAGGTAAAGTAAACATTAAAACTAATGTAATTTAGGTTGTGTTAAACAATAATAATGAGATTTAACCTAGTTTAGTGGGCCAATTTTCATTTATAAAATTAATTGGGCTAACATGTTGTAGTTTTTTTTTTGTTGGACTATATTTTAGATACATATTTGATGGGGTCAATAATATTTTGGGAAAAGTGTCAATTTATAAAAATTAACAAAACTTAAACTATTTTTCTAAAATTCATGGGTGTCAATTGACCCCATGGTTACATACTCTTTCTGCCACTGGCGACAACCACCTTGATGCTTGCGGGGCTTTTGCAAGGCGTTAAGTGGAAATTAAACTAGCCAGAGGTCATACACGTGTCAAGTTTATGGAATCGAGTCATGATATGTTTCTTTCGAAGCCTTTGGTTATGGTCGGAGAATTGAGACTGTTAAGAGGATCTTTACCCAACGGCCAACGGTGAAATGAGGTGAGGTAAAGTAACGTTCGGTGATTTCTCGAGTAATATCATGATATACTTAACTGCAAAGTAGTATATACGAAGTCGATCTACAAGGACCAATAATACTCTAAAGATTCGCGAGACTCGTTCTTAGCTAAAACGACAAAATGTTTGTTGGTTTTTATGTTTGCAAATAAAAATGCAAAAGAAATTAAACGATTAAAGTTATATAATAAAAACATTGAGCCATAAGATATTTCAGATATCAATGGTTAATGGAGATAACAAAATAGGAAGTCAACAATAAAGAACTGTTTTTGAACATGAACACAAAATTAGACTAATCCTCTTTCAAGAAATATAATTAGTCACTGAACTTGACTACTCATTTGCAACAATCTAGTCAATTTCGTATTATCAAACAAGTTCATTAAGTCCAATGTGCGTTCTAACATCAACTTTTATTGGTTAGAAATACATTCCTCAATTCAAATTCATTCAGACACTTTTTATGCATAAAAATACTTATAATCTAACACATGGTGATCAATCATATTTTAACATTAAGAACATGTGAATCAAAGAAACATAAAGATAGAGAATTCCTAACCAACAATAAAATCATCAAACTACTGAATCCCCTACTTAAAACCCTAAAACCCAATATATATTATTAAATTAGTTTGATGTTCTAGCTCTCATCTTAATTTATCTACTCTATCTAAATACCCCTAAGAGCACCTCCAATAAGAGGTTTTAGTGTAAAAATTCTGGGGTTCTCTTGATTAAAGAGAATAAAAATAAATCAAAAAGCCTAATTATGAAAAGAATCGATTCTCTTAAGAGAGTTTTGGGAACAAGAGAGACGCTGACGTGTCACGTTGTAATTGGCTGATTAATTTAACAAGAGAAAAAAAAAGAAGCGTGTGTTTTCATTTTTTTGTCTTCGTGAAGTCTCAACCGCGTCTCCTGCAACCTCTTCTTCTCTCTCTCTGTTTGGTTTGACCGGAGTTTATGGTGGAAGTACGATCAAGATCACGGCGAACGGAGGTATGCAGATCTCTATCTTCTCCTTTGCTTTTCTGCTCGAATAGATTGGTTAAATTAGGGTTTTATTTGGGGATAACGATCATGTGAAATGTTGCAGAGCAATTGGGTCTAGCAATTGGTTTCTATACTCTGTTGTGATTGAATCTGAATCTGGTCTAGCAGAATTTGATCCAAGTAGCTCTGGAGTTACCAATCCTCGTGTTGATATTGATGGGACTGTGATATGTTCTATGCTCTTAATTTCTGTTCCTGGAATCGTTATAGCCTTGTGTGTTATGTTATAGGCATGGAACATAGGAATGTGGTGCTTTTGTTTTAGTAGGAATTGTTAGCTTTTGACTATTTAGAGTCACAATCTTTTTTTGATGATGTTGTTGGAAGGTTTTTGGTTCTTGTTGTATCTCTTTAGAATGTGAAAAAATTGCATTGTTCTGTTGTTGAAATTGTTAGATTTGGTTTATGTTTTCGAATCGTAGGATCAAACCGATCAATAGCTTTGATGATTGAAATCGATTCTTGCTCTCGTTTTTGTTTGATCTTTAGCAATTGTAGCATTGTTTATGTGATTTTTATGAATTAGAAACTTTGAATCAAGAACAAAGCTTATGAGATTCTAGTGTTGTGGGTGATAGTTTCGAATCGTTGAAATTCACCTTTGTTTGTTTTCAAGAAAACGATTTAATTGACGTCATAGAAACTCTAGTGATTCATGTTGTTTCTTCTCCATGGTCGTGCTTTGTGAGATTTGACAGAAGCTAGATTTATTTATTAAGGTTATGCATTGACTTTGCTCTCTATATGGGTGAATTTGATTTAGATTTCCAAATACTAATTCTATGGTTTGTCAAACGATTTTCATCTTTATCTCTCCATTTACATGGCTTAAGCCTCCTGCTGAGCTTGAGAAGAGGAAGCACAAGCTCAAGCGTCTTGTTCAGTTTCCTAATTCCTTAAGAATTTTTTAAGCCCCAGGAATTTCATGTAAGAATTTGATTAGGTTTTTGAAGTGGGCAATTGAAAAAGAAGAGATTAATTTGATTTATCTGGAGAAGCTAGGCGGCATGGGACAAAACCATTTGCTGATGTTATCTTTTGAGAGTGTCATTTTGAGAGTCAAATGTAACCCAAATTTTTATGTGCATATGCAAAGCATCTTCTTATGTGAATGATTTCTCCATATGTCACACAACTAGAACAAAACTTAAATTACATCAACCACAAAACCATGACTTCTCTCCATATATTTCTTTCTCCAGCTCACAAAATTTGATCAAGTGTTTTAAGAACCAAAACATATAAATTTGATCAAGTGTTTTAATAAACCAAAACACTTAACCTAAACACATAAATTTTATTTAAACACAAATTTTCAAAACATGATTTAAAAAAAAAAAAAAATTTAAGAACCCCACTTGAGATGCTACCATTGGACTGTGAATTTTTTTTTAAAAAAGCACAAGTTCTCATCTAACAAATCTCTAACATTTATCTTAAACAATTGGAGAGAGCTCATGGGGAGCTCTCACCATTGGAGATGCTCTAAACCACCTATATAATTTAATTTTTTTCTTTACAAAACTACTATTATTATGTGCAACATGCCTAGCTCCATTGACAATGTTTATAATTTATATAATAATATTTAATAAAAAATTTATTAACTTTTTCTGGTAGGATAAGAATTTTTACTTTTTTAATATATTAACAAAAAAATTTAAGATTAATTGTGTAATCTATTAAGATATGTTTTAAATGATAAATAACTTTTACTTTTTCGAATATATAATAATATTATTTTTACTAATATATATTATTTTTTATTAATCAGATAAGATTAAGAAATTTTCTATTTGTATCTATTTTAACAAATTAATCTTTGCATGTGGCAAAATCTTATGTTTTACTTGACACGTGTCGTGATCACGTGAGTTAACAATTTTGAAAACCAAGCTTTATATAATAAGATACTAAATGATATTTTTTGTAAGATCTCTTTCTATTTAATGAGAATCTTCTCAAACTTTACAAGTGTAGGTTTTCCATTTATCTCAACCCCTTTAGTTCAAAACCCTTTAACAGGACGAGTCATATAAATAAAGCATATAATCGGACTTCTTATTTTCACAGAAGTATTAACAATAAGAAAGAAAATAATGACTATGACAAAAGCTTTTGTGATTTTTATTCTTGTAGCAACGTCGTTGTGCAACTCCAATGCTTTGCCTTCATCGGGTATGTTGTTATCGTTCATCTATCTTTGATCATTTTATCGAGTAATTTTTTTCAAAAATAAATTAGTAAAACCGATTTATATGTATATGTGTGCGTATATATTTATTTTTCTTTAACATGGTTGTATTTATGCAGTTGTCAATGGATTTGGATATGATTATTGCATTGCAAAATGTTCAATAACTTTTTTAGATGATGTATGCAAGCCGGTGTGTATAAGCAAGGGGTACTCAGATGGAGGGTGTATTGGAGGACCAAAACTTAAATGTTGTTGTAAGAAATGATAGAAATCAATAATCTTTATAGTAAACTAGCGATTTGATATCTTGTTTGTTCTTGGATGAAATAAAACTAATCTTATTATACTTTGATAAGCTTAGAAAGTCTTAATAATTTCACAAAAGCTTAGCATTATCCTATGGATATGAGTGTAAGAGAGAGTAAAATTACTTGTTTTGCACAGCGGCTTTAAATCATACCAAACCGTTTAAAAATAATCTAAATTCGAGATATACCAAACCGAAATTAAAACGAAACCGAAACGGAAACCAAAATTACCAATGTCATCGTCGATTCACGGGGGACTCATATCCTCTCTATCACTTTTAGGGCTTTTTTCTTTAGTCGAACACACTCTAATAGGCTTTTCGTGACTTGTTATCCAAGTTTCCGCTCTATCAGTATCACCATTGATTACGGTACAGAATTCTCTGTGTTCGCTTCTTCTCTATATCTCCTCTGTTTTCTTCGATTGAACCCTTCGAAAGCAACGACCTTTTCCAGGTTTTATACAGTTTCCTTTGCCTTTTTGGTTTAGTGGAAGAAGAATTTCGTATCCTCTGTGATGGGCACTGTTTATTTTCTGTGAAATTAAAATTTTCTGACTCTGCTTCTGTTTTAGTATGTGTTGATAATCCCCAAACTCATCGTTTTTTTTTTTAATTCATGATTGTTTCTGCAATTATAGATTAAGAAAGCCAGATTTTGAGGCTTAAAACTACTTGATTGTGTAACTTGCAGGTAGTGTATTCAGCTAAATATGTCTCTAATACAATTTGGAAGTACTTGCATTGCTCAATGGAGTACTATTCGTCCTCCATTTGCACCAGTGAGATCAAGTCGCCAACTAAAGTATGATTTTTTTTTAAGTCTCTGGATTGCATTTTAGTTCTTGATTTACTTGGAGGGTTTATGTGATTTCTAGACTAACTTTGAAAGAGCATCATTATAAAGTTCTTTCCTTTTGACAATCTTACAGTTCCATGATCCAAATAAACTGTTTGGGTGCTTCAAAGTCGAGTATGTTCTCACATGGATCCTTGCCTTTCTTGTCAATGCCGGGAGTGTTAAGAAATAGGCGCAATTGTAGAGGATCTCGCTTCATTGTTAAAGCTGATGCAGTGCGTGTTTTCTATTTTCTAGCCAGCCTTTGCAGACTTGCTTAGATCATTAATGTGTTATCATCTATATTGCTTATGAGTGATTGATTGTGTGCAATTCTAGGTTTACTATTTAGTCCTCGGAGTTTCGAAAAACGCAACCTTATCTGAGATTAAAACCGGTATGTTTTCAGTTTTTCTGTTATGACTTGGTACTTTTAGGTATGGCATTGATTCGATCTTCCATGCTCTTTTGTTTCAGCTTATCGGAAACTGGCTTTGAGTTACCATCCGGATGTGAACAAGTAAGTGTCATTTATCAAGCTTGTGGTGTTGTATAGATCTTGAGAACGAGATTATAACAACATTGACACTCATGAATCCCTGCTTACACAGGAATCCTGATGCAGAAGAGAGATTCATAGAAATAAGTAATGCATATGAGGTCTTATCAGAAGAGATGAAATCTCATTACGATAAGTATGGTGGTGAGGCTGGAATGGAAGACATTAGGGCATGGTTTCAAAACGAAGAATCCGAGTTTTATTCTTTAAAGACTCTTAAAGCCAAATGCACCACATGTGGCGGACTAGGTCAAGTGGTTTCATCAGCAAGTGCTCCTCTTGACGTGAACCAACAAGTCATGACTTGCTCTTCCTGTAACGGCACTGGAGTGGTACGTGCTCTGGATGATGAAACGGATAAGTCTCAAGGTATCGGCTGGGGTTGATTCCGGTAGCTGGTTAAGAGTGAGAGGACAAGGCAATGACGGCGAGGCATCGGGTGATCTGTTTGTTGTTATTATAAAGGAATGATACCAATATAGTCTACATTTATATCGATGCGATTCTAGGGACGACAATGAAAGTACCGGCAGGGACACAAACGTTGCTGGTGATGGCGAAAAAGGGAGTGCAAGTGGAGATACCTAAGCGATTGAGCAAAGAAGAGAAGAAGCTGATTGAGGATATGAGCAAGAACAAGACTAGCTAACATCTTGTATGATATCTAAAAACTATATATTATATTAAAAATGAAATATTGGAGATAATACCAACAAAGTGAGATATCATTATCACTAACATTTAATTGAATTTTCATACTTATTATTCATTTATAAATTTTGTTTAAGAAAATGATTCCATTTATATACATTCTAGATTCCTCCTATGCCCTGCAAAGATCCTATAATAGTTAATTTTCTTGTCATAATAAAAAAGGATAGTAAAAAAAAAAAAAAAAAAAAAAAAAAAAGGGGGCTACGTTGTTCTAGCGAACTCCTTTCATTCGTTTTCTCTCTACTCATCGCTTTTCTTATCTCTCTCTCGGAGCTCTTCCTTCTTCCGTCGTCTACCATTGATTACGGTAAGATTCGCCTTCTTCTACTCAATTTCATCATCACTATATACAAATTAATCTATGTGTCTTCTCTGCCTCCGTTAGTGTTTTTTTTTCTACGATTGAAACCATCGAAACAATTCAAGGTTTTACACAGTTTCTTATGCTTGTCCGGAGAGGGCGAAATCGCGTCTTCTGAAATCCGCCCAGAAACTCTCCGCCGCTTAATTTTCCGCGCATCTCGGATTTCGATAGAAATGTTTTACCTTTTTTGGTTTTAGTTTGATGAAGAACTCTTATGTGTTGTGATGGTTATTGCTTATATCTTCTGTGAAAATTTGATATTCTTGTTCTACTTTGATTGAAGTATGTGTATTCAATTGAAATTGATATTTCTTAAGTTTGAATTTTTGAAATCTGTTTGTTTTTGGTTGCTTTCTGCATTTTTTAGAGTTAAAAAAAAAAAAAAAAAAAACAGATTTTGAGGCTGGGAGCTATTTTAATTGTGTTGCAGGGAGGTTAAATGGCTCTAATACAATTTGGAAGTACATGTGTTGCTCAATGGAGTATTCGTCCTCAATTTGCTGTGAGAGCTTATTATCCCAGCAGAGTCCAATCAAGTCGCCAACAAAAGTACGATTTTCTGATTTAAGTCTCTGGATTGCATTTAGTTCTTGATTTACTTTGAGGGTTTTGATTTAGTTCTTATGATTAGCTTGTGGAGAAACTAGTTAAGTTGGTATTATGTGATTTCTAGACAAAGAGTTTTATATCTGAAATAGCATTAAAGGTTTGCCTTTTCACAACCTTTACAGTCCCATGAGCCAAATAAATTGTTTGGGAGCTTCAAGGTCGAGTATGTTCTCACATGGGTCCTTGCCCTTCTTGTCCATGACGGGAATGTCTAGAAATATGCATCCTCGCAGAGGATCTCGCTTCACTGTTAGAGCTGATGCAGTATGTGTTCCTATTTTCTTCCCTTTGCAGAATGCGTATATCTCAGCTTCTCTACTTATTACGATTTTGGTTGCTTTTGGGTGATTGTGTGCTATTCTAGGATTACTATTCGGTACTCGGAGTTTCGAAAAATGCAACCAAATCTGAGATTAAAAGCGGTATGTTTCCGTTTTTCTGAATGTGAGAGATTCCATTGTATATATAGATGGTTTGCATATGTTCCAATGCATCATCAAACCCGTAATCTGAATTCTTTGCTTTGCGCTTCTTGTGTTTTATTTTGACTTGTACTTTTGGTATGACAATGATTTGCTCTTCTTTACTCTTGTTTCAGCTTATCGGAAGCTGGCTAGGAATTACCATCCGGATGTGAACAAGTAAGTGAAAATCTTCATTTGATCAAGATTGTTGCTGTATATCTTGAGAACAAGAGGATAGGATCGACACTCAAGTAGAAGATATGGACCTTGATCTCTGTTAGCTAAATGTTAGATATGCCAAAAACTAGATGACTACAAACCTTGGATTATGTTTTTTCCCAGATTGGGAAAACCAGCTACTTTCAAAACTCATAGGCATTAGCAAAGTACAGACGGGGAAATATGAAATGCTCAGAAACCGCTTGTTTTCCTTCAGTACTTATACTTATAAGATAGAAAAGTGTTACCGTCTTGTTTACATGTTTATTATGTACTTACAGGGATCCTGGTGCAGAAGAGAAATTCAAAGAAATAAGTAATGCATATGAGGTAAAATGAAACCCAACTTCTCCTTTGTTTCTACTATGCAAGTTCGAACTTCAGAGATGCTTTTTTAGCCTTTTGAGACTAAAGAACAAAATTTTGTTCTGCAGGTCTTATCAGATGATGAAAAGAAATCACTTTATGATAGGTATGGTGAGGCTGGACTTAAAGGCGCTGCTGGAATGGGTGGCATGGGGGTACGTTGTTCAAAACACAGATTTACAGATTTATTCTTTATAGACACTCGAAGCCAACTCTCTGATCACTTCTTTGTTTGTTTTTTTTATATTACCTTTCATCAGGATTTTAGTAATCCGTTCGATCTATTCGAGTCATTATTCGAAGGCATGGGTGGGATGGGAGGAGGTGGAATGGGTAGAGGTTCAAGAAGCAGAGCCGTGGATGGTCAAGATGAGTATTACACGCTAATCTTGAACTTCAAAGAAGCGGTTTTTGGAATGGAGAAAGAAATAGAGATATCACGGCTCGAGAGCTGTGGGACATGTGAAGGTTCAGGTGCAAAACCGGGAACCAAACCAACCAAATGCACCACGTGTGGCGGACAAGGTCAAGTGGTTTCATCAGCTAGAACTCCTCTGGGCGTGTTCCAACAAGTCATGACTTGCTCGTCCTGTAATGGCACTGGAGAGATCTCGACGCCGTGTGGTACTTGCTCTGGAGACGGACGTGTGAGGAAGACAAAACGGATAAGTCTCAAAGTACCAGCCGGGGTTGATTCAGGTAGCCGGTTAAGAGTAAGAGGGGAAGGCAATGCAGGGAAGAGAGGCGGGTCACCGGGCGATCTGTTTGTTGTTATTGAAGTCATACCAGACCCGGTTTTGAAACGAGATGATACAAATATTCTCTACACTTGCAAGATATCGTATATCGATGCGATTTTAGGGACAACATTGAAAGTACCAACAGTGGATGGGACTGTAGATTTGAAAGTGCCAGCAGGGACACAACCTGGCACGACGCTTGTGATGGCGAAAAAGGGAGTTCCGGTATTGAACAAGAGTAATATGAGAGGGGATCAGTTGGTGAGAGTACAAGTGGAGATACCTAAGAGATTGAGCAAAGAGGAGAAGAAACTTATTGAAGAGCTTGCTGATATGAGCAAGAACAAGACTGCTAATAGCACCAGTAGATGATTAGAAACACGAAAATTTTGACATTGAAAACGGGAATCTATATACATATACATTTTTCTACCCTGGCTTGTGATATTTGGAATGACTCTTGAAAAAAGAGGAAGCGTTAAAGAAGCAAGTGGAGGAAGATGATTGTTGTTGTGGTGAAATAGAAGAATTTTTTAGAATTCACTTTTTGTGGTTCGAATTAAAAAGTTTCAGCTTAACTAAGAATGATCAATCTTTGGTCTCAGATTCCTCAAAGACATTGATTTAAATCATGTTTGAAGCTTCTACCAAAATACAAATATTCTTAAGCTGGTTGACACAATACTCTAAAATCAAAGCTTCAAAATGTTTTAATCTAGTGGCAAGTGACAACAATTAAACATCAAATTACCAAAAGGTTGAGAGAAGAGAAAATATCTTAGGCAAGTTGTGATTTTTGAAGAAGCTAACTGATCTCATTAAAATATTCAACTCTAATGGTTCACAAGATTCTACAACCATTGTGTGATTTGAAAAAAAATTGACTAGATTGGACCAAAAGATCTAACATGAGAGAACACAAAGAACAGTTGCTTTAACTTCAAACTTCTTACAATGTAGTACCTCCTCCATCCGACATAAGAGATGCGGCAGCCGCAGCAGCGGTTGGCACAACCCCAGTGGAAATAAACGGTTTCGACAAGTGAACAAGCCTGAAAAGAAAAGGAATTGAATCATTGATGAAGCAATATCAAAGAGTTGTAATATAGATTACGATGGGTTAATGAAAATGATCTTACGGGGCGAGAAATTCACAGAAAGATGAAACCGCAGCAGCGACTTCACTGTAATTCTCAGGTGTTGCAGGAGCTGTAACATCAACAATCTGCATCCCAGGTGTTACAGGAACTGCCTCATCTATAGCATGAACTTTAGGCATCTTATTAACCGAAGATACAGAAACACTAATGTGCGCAGTCCGTTGGAAATGAAAGGCGAATCCGACTTTTAGAAGCTCATGGTCTAGTTTATAACCAAGTGCATAGAACATACGCAAAGCATTCTTGCTTACTTTACTTTCAATCATAGTTCTAACCATAACAGAGATTTGATCAGCTCCTGCACCTCTCATCGGACCACCAACATGTTTAACCGTCCTACGATTCCTTAAATTAGATTCCTTTACATGAAGCAAGAACATATACAAGAAGAAGAAGAAGAAGAAGCTTTACCATGTGGGTTCTGGTTGATCAAGATCACATAACAGCCTAACTTCTGAAGACACAACACCTGAAGATTCACAAATGTGAGTTATGATTCATACGAAGCTTCAAGTTTCTGATTTTTTGCCAAAGGAAGTGGCTTTACCAAGATTTGGGCCACTTTTTAAACATAACTCATGAACTCTTAAACGTTCGCGTTTAACACCACAAAGACCTTGAAGAAGAATCTCAAGCGCTTCAACATGCTGCAAAATCCCAGAAGAAAGTCTAATCAAATTCTAAATTTTTCAACCCTAGGGTTTAAATTTGGCTAAAAGCTGACACATGAACTCGAAAAAACTTGGAATTTGTTCGTCAATCAAAGAAAAAAAAAAACACACCTGTGTCTCAATGATTCCTTGAACCACACACTCCATTGACATTGTTGATCTATCACAAAATCTCCAATTACAAATCTCGCGAATTTAACACTGGAGAATTTTAGCTGTTTGAGAGAGTACCAATTTTGTAGCTATATAGTTTTAACTTGTTGTGTAAACATAATGGCCTATTAGCTCAGTTGGTTAGAGCGTCGTGCTAATAACGCGAAGGTCACAGGTTCGATCCCTGTATAGGCCATTTCTTTTTACTTCGGTACTATATCCTTCTCCGATTTAACAGTGGAGAAATATTGCTTCTAATTCGATTATGTTACAGTTTACTGTTCAATTTCGATTTTGATCTGAGAGTGACCTGGTTTGACTAGAGAGTGACTGGATTTCTTAGAATTTGGAACAACAGTGTTAGAATTCATCAGTAGATCTTAGGTAAAATGATCCCTAGTTAAGGCGAATTGTTCGATTTGTTCGTCGGTCACATTGTAGTGTGTACATAGCAATGTGGCTGCTTTGATTAGTGACATTCTTGTTCTTTTGCTGTGAGCAGATATAGAGCTGTTACAAGTGCGTATTACAGAGGTGCTGTTGGTGCAATGTTGGTTTACGATATGTATGACACAGCGAGAAAGCTGCGAGCACACGCAGATAAGAACATTGTCATTATTCTGATTGGTAACAAGACGGATTTAGAAAATCAGAGATCGGTTCAGGTGTGGAAGATGCCAAGGAATTTGCAGAGAAGGAAGGGCTTTTTTTCCTCGAGACTTCAGCACTAAACTCGACGAATGTAGAGAACTCTTTCAATACACTCTTGACTGAGATCTTCAACACTGTGAACAAGAAGAATCTCGCAACTAGTGAAAATCTAGGTGATTCGAACAAGGCTGGATCAATGGCTGGAAAGAAGATTGTTATTCCAAGTCCTGCACAGGAGAGCCCCACTAAGACCACATGTTGCAGCTCGTAAGTCTTCTCGATTTGGTCCATTACAGTTTAGAAGAAAATCAATTTTTTCATACACTTCAAAAATATATATTCTTGATTTGGTTTTTAGATAGTGACTTTTTTTCTTGTATATTCATTTGGAATCTGTTGTGCAAGCATCCCTTTGTTATCAAAACTTACAGATTCTGGAAATATAAAAGAGGTTTAAAATCTTTCATTTTTTGTCTGTCTTCCCATCAAAAGTTATCATGATGACACTTATACGAAAAAGAATTTGGAGGTATTGGATGGGATATTAGGAATAGTCAAAACTACAACAAAGGAGTACAATTTAAAGTAATGATGGAGGGCTTTAAGCCGTCTCCATAGCTTGAGGACCGCCCAAATCGCCATTGCTTCCATTTACTGAACCACCTTCCGTTTTTGGTGTTTTCTCGGCAAATCTCTCTAGCAGCTCCTGGCAATCTGCGGCAGTGGCCATAACAGCCAAACTAGCCTTCCCTCTCCAGCAACTGATGGCAATTGTTGACGCATCCACTTTCACCGGTTCTTCACCTGAGGTACCAGCAAAACCATAAAAATCACATCCTACATGATCAAATTCAAATGTATATCTATGAAGACCAATCAATACGCACCATCGCTGAGAATCACCACGCAGCTTCCCATAACAAGGTCAGTTGCTTTCTGGGCCAACTGTGGATTGACGAAATCCAGAAACTTGATTGATTTGTCTTGCAGAAGAAGTTTGAAGTCTGCCATTGGAGTATAAAGTACTTGTTTGGTAATGTATGGAAGGATCACAGGTAGTCCCTCGGATGATATACGGAATGGGCACAGTGTGCTTGAACCTTCTTTTGCCGATTGTCTCTCCTGCATTTCAATTAGTTGCAAATATTCTTAAGTTTCACTTCTGCAGTTTGTGCTTAATCAACCGAAATGACAAGTGGAGAAAAGAATTCTGTACTTACAAACATTTTGAGGCCAACAGAAGCGATCTTAAGCTGCTGCCCGACTGCAAAATTCAACTGAAGAACTTCCTTAACCGATTTTGAAACGTAGTAAATCCTCTTTACGCTGCTTGTGTCGTTGTTTCTTGCCACGAGATGACCATGCAATGGAAATGCTTCATCTTTGATACCGTAGAATTCCTTGATGCCATTAATGACTGTTTCATCTTTTACGAAAACAACAGGGTCAAAGCCTTTCCACTTCCCTTGCATCGGTACTTTTCTCTTGCCTCCCACATTACTCGAATTGGCTTCTTTATCTTCTGTGATGCTTTCTCCTTCGGTGATCTTCTTCTCAGGCTCCAAGCTATCATCTTTCTCATTGTTTGAATCTGCTTCAATAACTTTTTCCACTGCACTCTCATCTGGTACAGCAGCATCCACTGTAACAACAGATTCTTTACTCAGAGACTTTTCTGTCGAGTCAGTAGACTTAGCAGTTGAGTTCCTTTTCGTATTTGGTTTCTCCTGAAATTCTGTGAGTAAACTATCGATAAGTTCTCCAGAACCATAGGTGTTAAAATATGAATCTGAAGTCCTTCAAAAAAAAAAAAGTTCACCAGGCAAGGGAGAAATTTTTTGAAGGACCGCAATGAAGAAGGCTCCGGTGTTCTGATCATGAGGCATTATCCTCATGCAACGTTCAAGTGGAAGATCAGAGACTTCCTCAGCTTGTTCATCAGGAGTAGCATCCACCACAGGAACATCTGCTTCTTTGAGTCCATCTTCACAGCCGTTAACATCACCGTTCTCATTCTTCTGCGTGGTTTCAGTTGAGTCCTTGAGGTTTTTCCCAGAAGGAAACATGCTCACAAGAACTCCCCCTCTCCGGTTTTGTGGGACATCTTTGTAAGAAGTAATCCACCCACCTTTATCACGCACCTGAATCAAACAAAGACAAGGTAAAACAAGATGAGTAATCCCATCAGATTCTAGAGATGAGGTTTGGTCACTCGTTAATGAAGGTAGAAACTGACCTTCCATTTCTTAAGACCTGGTCTTCGTATAAGTTCAGGAAGCTTATCGGAAACATCTAAAAGTTCAACAGAGTCTCCACACCTCCTTAGGATCTGAAGTTAAGCAAGGTTATTACACGGTTAAAGCTATAACAGGTTTCTAATGAAAGGTGAAGAAGTTGTTTGAAAATTACCTCAGCAACAACAGCTTCGTCCTCCACTGGGTTCATTGAGCAGGTTGAGTATATCATCTTCCCACCAACTTTCAACAGAGATAAACCTGGACAAGACCAAGCAGACATGTTTACGATAGGCGGATCATTCAACAAGTAATTTCATGGAGTTAGTTGAGACATATTATAAGAAAGGAAAAAAAAACCTCTCATAGCAAGAATAATCTGAAGGCTATGAAGTCCATTGCCCATTCCAGAGTTCCTGTACATAAACCAAAAGGAATAAGAAATTCAAGAACCAATCCCATACAATATAATGCAAATAACATTGCTGATAGGCGAAAAGTGTCAAAGATGAAAATACCATTTGCGCCATATGTCTGGAGCCTTGCGCAGTGTACCATCACCACTGCACGGAACATCACATAGAACACGATCAAAGGCAAGTTGATTAATGGGCATATTTTCACTTATTCCTTTCTCGGAAGCTCGGGATTTGTTCAAACGGCAACCAGGAAACTGTTGCCCTTCATGATTTGTCACTATCAAGTTGGATGTGCACATTCTCTTAGTTTGGTGAATGAGAAGGTTAGATCTTTTAAAATCAACATCATTAGCCACCACCTGGTTATTTAGGGAAGAACAATCAATTATCTATCTACCTAAAACCAGATTTAGAAAATACAAGATATAAATTAGAATACAAACCAATCCATTAGGTAGAGATCCTGGTTCTGATGCTTCATGTATAATCTCAAGCAGCTGAAATGTTTTGGAACCCGGTGCAGCACACACTGTTGGAGAAAAAGATAATAGATCAGTATCCATTGACCTCTTACTTTCCCGGAAAGCGGATATAGTCATGGTCGTTTCTTCCTTTCGCAAGGCGGATACTTCTTTGAGCCCTTTGAAAATTTCTAGGTCTCAAAACAATATCAAATAAAAATTCACTCACTGTCAAGTACAAAATGATCTGAATGTACGTCTAGGAAGAGAGGAGGTACCTGAATGATTAAATTAAACGACCCTTTGTAAATATTAGCAGCGACAAAGCAATGTTAATTTTGGAAAAGAGTATTAAGCTATCTTACCATGCTAACAGCTTCCTGTCTGGTTATGTTTCCAACTTCATTTTCTAATTTCAGAAATTCATGAAACCTGAAAAGCCCCAATGAAGAACCCGTCATGTCATGGGTATAGCACAACAAATACACTAGTTCCTTAAACATACACAAAGTAGCCAGAGTAACTAGAATGCTTAGAGAGTGACATGAATTCGTTATCTAATAATATGAAGTGACTAGGAACACTCATATGTTAGTGTAAATGTACCTCTCAAGTGTCTGATTTTTTCTAATCTCCTTTCGAGAAAAATTAGAATGCCAAGCGAGATTCTTCGGATACCAAGGCAAGGGCTTAATAGCCTCCAATTCACCACCTTCTATAGCCTGGAAACCAACATCAATGTGAGATAAATAGCTATCCAGTTACAATAGAAATAGAGACTACAAAAATTCCAATTACAAACACTGAATTTACCTCAGCCTGAAGTGATTTCATAAAGTCATTCTCCAATATCGATATAATCTCATCGCAAAATTGGCCACTGCAATTCATAAAAGAATGAAAAAACGAGAAGCATCTAGTTAGCAATTGCAATCTTGAGCCAATCCTAGTTCAAAATATAAACTTTAACTCAACCCTAAACCCTAAACCTCATTGAGACTAAGAACAAATAACAAAGTGAAGAGAAAATAAAAAAGCATTACTTTGAATTAACCCTAAACGCAGCAGGTAAAGGCTTACGAAGAATCTCCATGAACAAATCCCACTCTTGTGCTTTCACAACCCCTTGTTCCTACAACACATACACACAAGAGTTAGAATCACAATAAACAATGAATCCAATACAGAAACACGAATAAGTTACCTTGTAATATTCCTCGAAATTAGGGTTAACAGTGACAATAGGTTCCCAAGTAGGTTTTTGTTCCGGTACGGCGTTATCGGAACCATCAACGGAAGCTTCG